GCCGCCTTCCTCCTCCCGGCTCCCGCTCCGGCTGCCAGGGCAGCCGCCGCCCCCGCCGCTCCGGGGAGAAAGTTGTTGCCCGCCGTGCTCCGGCGCGGTGGAGTTGGAGCGTAGCGGGTCTCACTCCAGACTCACGCCCAGCGCCTGCCGAGCTGGCGCTGCGGAGCGGGCGGGAGGCGGGGCCGCGGGTCACGTGCAGCCCGGGGCTGGCAGGGCGGGGTCGCGGAGACACCCCGCCCCCTCCATGGGTGGGGCCAGGCTCAGCGCGCCCTGGCCCCTTATACCCCGTGCTGCCAGTGGGGTGCGACCTCTGACCTAGGCCCTTTCATTTAGGGCTCTGGCACCTTTACAGAATTAACCCTGGCTTCGGGGCTGCATCTGGGGAGCAGGCCAACGTGGGGATGCCAGATATCTGGCTTCGAGACTGAGAAAGCCACCTACAATGTTTGTACGGTTTGGGAGAGTAGGAAGAGAGCCCCTAAACCAGCCAGACTTGCCTTCTAACACCCTGGGGATTGCCAGAGCTGGAAAGAGCCCGGGAAAAATATCCTGGTATGGCACACAGCAAGTACCCTTCCTTTTATAGTATTGTGACATTACCTAGTGTGGTCTGTTTCCCTGGCATTAAATGAGTTTGTTCCGGAGCCATGCGGGACCGTGTACTCCCATTTCTATAACGAGTTGTCTCTCCCACTGTCAGTCCCTCCTCAATTTGTGCTTATTTTACAGGCGTGATATGTCTTGATTCTTTGAAGAGAAAGATTACACATCTCCCCAGGTGAATCCCAAACCTCCTTTCATGGAACTCTGATGCGTAAAAGAAAATTCACATATTTACATTCCACTCTTGAATAACCAAGTAATTCCCACTGATAGAAAATCCAAGAATCTTATGCGTGATTCGGTAGGCAATCTCCTCATCCCTCCCCCAACATGCTAACCACGAGGAGGGATATCTTCTTCCCCGAGATATCCTCACCGTTACCCTCCACTTAGAAGCGCTATTTTAGCTGCTTCATTTGCTTGAAACAAAGGATGACATTAATTGCAACCAATTTTTTTAATTGTTTTTAATTGCCAGTGTTGGTTTGTTTGGATTTTTTCCCCTTTGATTTAAATATTTTGTAAATTATTTCATACAGTTTCACTTCAGTAGAGAAAGATGACTTTGTCCCTCTGATCTGCTTTCCTTCTTCAGTCTGAGGGCACCAGGTAAAGCATCGCAGGATTCTATTCCTACAGTTCCAGTGCTTCCCTTTTTTGAGCAAAAGATTTCTTAGCATGCGGCCTATTTTTCATGCAGTCTAGAACTTTTTCCTTTTAGAGAAAAGCATTTTGTACTCCTTGCTTCAATAAAGTTACATTAAAATTTGTCAAGATTGCTTTCATTTGGATTATCAGTCATGATTATCTCCATAATGCTGCATTTTGCTTTTCAGCAACAAGGAAAAATGAATTAATGAGCTCAGAGGGCTTAACTGTTTAAATTTTTGTGTGGCTTTAAAGCAAGGCTCTACCATCAATCCCACGGATCAGTTAAACAGAGAGAGCCTTGAGCTCTGGCGCAATGAACTCTAATATTCAGACCTTAGAAAAGCTTCAGGTTAGAGCGCGCCTTTTTCCGTGACGACTATAGTACTGCGCCCCCTGGTGGTAAGCCTATTCACATGGCTTCTGAAGAGAATAGCTTCCCAGATGAGAAGCAGCTGGTACCGTGACAGTTTCCTCTTGCTGAAATGAAACAAGCTGATTTTTTTTACCCAGCTGGTGTAGTGAACATGTTGGCTCCTGAGCATCCCTTGGAAATTCAGCTTCTAGGTAACAGAACACTAAACTGCTCAAAATGATTCTGTTTCGTATTAGGGCATTTGCATACCTGCGGTCAGGTTACATCTGAGAAGACGTGTGAAATGAAAAAATGCATGAGAGAGTTAAACAGTTTTTCTCAGCCCTTGGAGGGAGCCAGGTTCAACTTGGCAACAGATTGTGAGTCTAAAATGGATCTCCCTGAAGCTTGCCCAGCTGCAGATTACGTTAAAATGGAAAGCCCGCGGGCTGAGAATCCAGAGACATAAGGGCCATCACCACTATTGTTTTACTGGAGAACTTTCAGCAAACCACTGGATGAGTTTGTGCCTCGTTTTGTCTCATTTGCAGAGCAGATAATGGTGCAGCAACTATTCACTGATTAGAGTAAGTGTGAAAAAGTATTTTTGAAATGTAATTGCTATTGCAGGGTCAATTATAATTATAAGCATCATTATTGGTTTTCAAGGTAAGTTTTAAAGCCTCAGTTTGAAGGACGGACGTTTGTTTTACAACCTTTAGGAATTCTAAGAACCCACCATAGAAGAGGGAAAGGAAAGAGAGAGGTTTTGGCTATACTGCTACACATCCTGAATGTCAGGCAAAGACACTGGTAAATAATCTAATTGAAATTTTTATTGTTGGGAGTGGATGGTGGAGTTGGTATCAGAGTGTTTTCTTTATATTTATTAGATGTTTATTTTTAATTACATAAAAATAAAAAACTCCTTGTTGTAAAGCAGTCTCACAATAAAGACAACACCGGTCCCTTCCCATTATCTTTCTCACCATTACAGACTCCTTCCCCAGAGATAACCACTTCCACCACTTTGAAATGTATTTTTCCAGAACTTTCTCTATGTACGTGTATGTAGAATGGTACTTCAAAAAGCTCATGGAAAATGGAATTAAAAGATAATACAAAATCTCGTGTGAATTTTTTGAAGACCCCTCATACACAGTAAAATGCAGAGGTTGTTTCACTTGATTTTTTATCAATTAGGTTGCAAGAGATAGGTGAGTCATTGTGCAGTACAATCGTATATTGAAACAACATACTGTACCCCACAGTTATGTACAAGTAAATGTTAAAATATTTTGAATAAACAAAAAAAGAAAACCTAAATCAAGCTTATTTAAACAAAAATAGTAGGGGAGATGGAGGATTTATTGGCTCTTGTCTCTGAGAAGTCTATAATAAGTTGGCTTCACATGGACATAGTTCTCAAACACCAGGATGTCACCAAGACTTCCAATCCACTCTGCTTCTTGCTACTTAGGCTCCACTCTCAAATTTCATGTGGTGCCCAAATGGCTACAGCAGCCTCCGAGCTCTATATTCTTTTCCACTTATGTCTAAGGAGATGGAATAAGGGCCTCTTTGTCTGAAGCCCTAGCAAATTTCTTATTGTATATAATTGGATCTGTCCATTGTTTGCCCATTCTTGATCTAATTACTGCAGCTGGGAGATCGCAATTTGATGATCAGGTTAGGGCCAGTCATTGGCCACCTCTTGAGCTGTGAGTGAAGGTAAATCATATGGGCTGAGATTGTAGGGGATTCCCATAAGAAATCTGATGGACTGTTTTGCCAGAAGACACACAAATGCTGGCGATAAAACCATCAGATTTGAGTGACCATAAGTAACTAGTAAAGTAACATGGCATAAAAGCCAAGTAAGCATTTCAAGAAGGGACTAGCTAAGAGAATCAAATATATTGCATAGAGATCAAAGAGAATGAAAATTCATAGGAAATTATTGATTTTTTTTATTATGGAAAGTCAATGGATGGTATTGATGAAAATCATGGTGATGTTTTGATGGTATTATCATTAGGAAACATAGTAATACCTTTTAGTTGTTCCTCCTTTCTGAATTATAATAGGCAATAGAAGCATCAGAATAAACATATGTTACTATTAATAGGAACAAAGGTAAAGCGTGGGTCCCATGGCTTAGTTATGAGGCAGAAGAGGTAGTTGGTGCTTAGTACTTCCCCCCAAATCTTGCCTTTCTTTTATTTGCTCTAAAGAGGTGGAGGAAAGAGATGGAAGGTGAGAGGCAAGAATGCAGGGAAATAAGAAAAGATGGTCAGTATACCCCAGTAGACAATGCTCTGTCTCGATCTGCTGCTACAGGGAGACACGGAGCAGGAAGCACAAGAAGGATAAGGTATGGATCACATTTTAATACACATAGACCCCACCCACTAATAACCATGACCCAACCAGAAATAGAACCTATAATACGTCATAATATCATCTTCTCCCCCTTTGGGTAGGGAGGGTTGCAATGCCTCTTCCCGCCCAGAGACCTTTAAGAGAGCAATTTCTATGAAGAAGAAATTAGTGGAAATAGCAAATGTGGGGTGAATTTTCTAGAAGTCTTTTGGTAAATGTGATAAAGGTGGGACCAGCTTAAAGAGTTATTAGGATAAAGAGAAAGGGTGAGGGGGGCGGTAGGCATGACTTGAGTTTATACTGAAGTGAAAAGAAGAAATTGAGAATTCCAGAGCCTGAATGATTAAGGGGACAAAGTCCCAAAGAAGGAAGGAAGGATAAGAGCAAGATCACAGGGGCAAGGCTAACCTACTGTTGTGGATTGAATGCTCCCAAAACTCATTGAAGCCTAA